ATGGTACCTGCGATTATTTTATCATTCGCTTGACATGACAATAATAAATTCATGATTGTTATATAGGAGAGTCAACACGGGTAGAGAAGAAACATATTTAACCCTAGCAAAATTCCGTGCTGAAATTGCATACTGTTTGTGCAACCAAGGAAGTACAGCTACACCGAAAAGAGAAAGGTCAAGTGATATTGAAAAAAATATTCAAGCCAAAAAGAAACGTTCTGCTACAACTGCCTACGTACCTCCAAAAGATGTGCGTCAAGATTGTTATAGTCACTGGCCAATTCATGACGAAACGAGACAATGATGCAAAAATCCCGGATGTAAATCTTTTTCATTTATAAAATTTTCAAAATGTGCTTTACACTTATGCTTTAATAAAAATAATAATTGTTTCTTGCAATTTCATACAAAATAGGACACTTGCATTCCATGTATCACTTGTGCACAATGTAGCACATATAATACATATATATTTGTTTAAATAAAAGCTTAATATTTAGACGTGGATTTTTAAAATTATTTTTCCCAAATTTATACACACAAATCACATTGAAAAAAATTTTTTTCGGCGAAGAAAAAAAATTGCTTAGGGTTAAATGATTTTACATTTAATGCAATTTGCTCAAAATCAAGAGATGACGTTTTTAATTTTCTAATGTGTAGACCTGACCTGACCACCTGGCCTTTAGTTCGCACAGCTCTAAGCGAACATTACAGAGATAGAATTGACAGACAGACATTATCTCGTGATTTTCTCTATCTAACGAGTAACAGAAATGAAGATACATTAGACATCCTTGAAAAAATAGAACAAATGAAAACGCGACTTGAAACTAAAATAACTTCAGATGTATCAGTTCCCGAACCTTTGTTGATGGAACAAGCAGAAGGGAATGCTCTTGATGTCTTAATGGCGAATTCAGACGATAAACAGGCTTCAGTTTGAAGGTGATTGACAATGTTTCATGGTGAATTTCACTGGTTCGGACTTCCATTGTCTACTATATAAAATGATTTGAAATCCCTGAAATAACTAAAAAAGAAAAATTAAAAATGAATAGCTGAAAATAACAATTATATTAAGCAAAATAAACCTGAAATGAAATAATAGTGAAATAAACTACAAGTAAAAATATAACAATTGAATAAATAAAAATAAAGGAATGAAAAAAGAAAATAATAAAAAGTGTAGAGATTCCAAGTCACGTTAGTTCACGACGTTTCGATTGTTAGTATCTACAATCGTCTTCGGGTGATGACTGGGTGATGACCCAGTCATCATGCTTATCCCTTTGAGGACAACTGGTTAGTTCAAGAGACCACATTTTCTAAATTATTTTTCTAAATGTCTAGTGGACAGACGGCGTAACCACACTGTATAATGTGTTGCCTATATCACTTCTACTCTTGCAAACATTTCAAATCCGCCGGAACGTAGCACGTGTTACCATTATTCACGAATTCTTCAAGTGCAAGGGTTGTTCAAGAGGTTATAGTTTTTCAACTCGATTGTATGAGTAACGTATCGTTAAGATGTCAGGTGAGAATGTGTTTTTATGTTGAAATAAGTGATAATAAGCCATTATTAGTGCCCGTAACTCCTTACGTGTTGTTGATTATGTTTTATTGCATGAAATACTGTATGGCTTTCCAGGCTAACCACAAGGCATTGAATGACGTTTTTTAAAGGTCAGGCTAAGTGGACGTTTGCGGAGTTGCAACAATTGGATCCTTCCGAGTTTGAGGCACTCATAGATGAGATTCCTTCGGACTGCGAATCAGAGGAGTCGTCGGACATTATCGACAACCCAGAGGAATCCCTAATAATGGAAGGTCCGGTAGATGATGTGCGCAGCCTTTTTGACATAGAATCGATGCATATTGATATACTGGATGACGAGCAATATGAACAAGTTTGTCGGCGTGACATTGATCCATCACCTACCATAGCCAAAGAAACTGATGGGTGGAACACAGAGGATGAAATGCCTCTATCACAATTACAACTGCAATTATGGAGACTGACCACAGTATGGACAAGTGATGCCACATTCTGTACAAAGCCCTCTCCATTCATACAGGAAACAGGACCAATCATTCCAGAAGACGTAGAGAGTCCTACTGATATATTCATTCATTTGTTTACGAATTTTCTGATTGAAAAAATTGTTTTCCAAACAAACCTCTAGGCCTTACAGAAGAGTGGTGGCAATTCTCGAGCTTTTCTTGCGACAACCTCATCGGAAATGAAGACATTCCTTGGATTGAATATTATCATGGGACTAAAATCCATGCCCAGCTATAGAGATCATTGGTCATCAAGAATTGAGCTGAGAGACCCTTACATAACCAATGCCATGGGGAGAGACCGTTTTGGATGGTGGCTTAGTAACTTACACATGAATGATAATGCAACTCAGCCAACAAAGCAAGACCCGAAGTTTGATAAACTTTACAAAGTTCGGCCGCTTATTGACACACTGTCAGAATCGTATTTGAAATCGTTTGCGCCTAATGAACATCAAGCCATTGATGAATCAATGATCCGCTACAAAGGAAGAAGCAGCTTACGCCAGTATATGCCTAATAAACCTATAAAAAGGGGCTACAAAGTCTGGGTACGTAGTGATGAGACAGGTTATGTCTCACAGTTTCAAATATATACTGGCAAAGTTGGTGATCTTACTGAAAAGGCGCTAGGAGAACGAGTCATCAAAGATCTTTCTAGAGAGTTAGTTGGTAAAAATCACAAAGTTTACTTTGATAACTTCTTCAATTCTGTACACCTTCAAAAACACCTACTTTCTAACCAAATATATGCATGTGGAACTGCTCGAAACCGTAAGCAGATGCCAACTGACTTACGCGATGACAAGCTGCTGAGACGTGGTGATTCAGACTACAGGGTGTCCAAAGACGGACTAGTGGCCCTCAAGTGGATGAACAAAAAAGCAGTACTATTCATTTCTAATTCTCATGACCCCACAGAGTTGAAGAGTGTTTCCAGAAGAAGAAAAGATGGCTCTAGAGAGGAAGTCACATGTCCAGTACTTGTCAATGACTATAATCGTCACATGGGCTATGTCGATAAGTTTGACATGTTAAAATCACTTTACGAAATAGATCGCAAATCAAGGAAATGGTGGCACCGAATATTCTGGTACTTTGTGGATGCTACAGTGGTGAACTCATATATAATATTCAATACGCGATTACCGAGTAAAATGACCTTGAAAGAGTTTCGACTTTCTGTGGTTTCTGGCCTAATAGGTGCTATTTCTGAGGAATCAAAGCGTGGTAGGAAACGTAATGAAAATATTCCAAACAAATTCAAAACCATCGTGCCACTAGAACTGAAATTTGATAAGAACTTGCATATGCCCGTTCATACAAGTTCACGAAGATGTGCACATTGCAGCACTACGAAAGAACCACACCATACCGTTTGGATGTGTTCTACGTGCAATGTGGGATTATGCCTGAGGGACTTCAAAAATTGTTTTTATGATTTTCATCGGAACTAGATAATGCCTAGTGGTCACTTGAAATAACCATATCATATTTTTTTTCTTTTGTCACGATCCCACGTTTTTTTGGTTTACTTCGTGAATAAACATATCAATCAATACATTTTTCCATAAAAGTTTGTTTTTTTCCACGAAAAATTAATTCCGTCCTCAAAGGGTTATAGTTTGTTTTTGTGTTCTTACGAAGTTTCTTAAGCAGAAATATACTAAATAACTTTATGTATTTAGTTGGAGCGTCACGATAATCTTCTGGTAGATGCGTACATGTATGTATTGTGAAATTTTAGAGTCAATCAGCTGAATTCTCATGATGGTGCCAAACAGGCGAAAAAGAATTGTCATTCCAATTAAAGAAAAATTAAAAGCTATTAAAAGAATAGAAACAGGTGAAACACTCAAATTCGCAATAAAATTGAAGAGTGGTGTATAAAACAAGCCTTTTCGTCCTCGGAGAGAAAGCAGTGGCGTAGCAAAGGGTGGGCGGCGGGGGCAGGCAGCAGTCTCTCAACAACAATATACAAACAAAAAAGAAATGCTAGCAAAAAATTTCTATTCCGAGGAATTCTCCACTAGCACTAGCTCAGCTCTATGTATAATTCGGGGATTCCCGCAAAAGAGCCTGACGCTGTCGTGAGGAATTCCCCGTTCCATAATCGCGATCTTTGACGTCTCAGTTGCAACATTTCTCATTTGTTTCGTGAAGTGTGTTGTGTTTGGTGAATTGTTAAACGTGTATTATTTATAGTGATAGAAAAAGAAAAAAATATATTTTAGAAAATTAAATGCTGTTTTGTGAAGATAAAAAAGAGTTATTGATTCATATTGAATATTTTACAGGTAAGATGATTTTATAATTAAATTAATTTCCTAGTACTTCTATGGACGAAACCTATAGGGTTATGTAAAAATGGCTAATGTCATATATGTCATTTTTGCCAGAGTACGTATGGATTGGCACCATAAAGGAATTTACTAATCTTGTTATTCGAATAATTTTACTAATTAGTCCAATTCATTCTTTTCTCATTTTTTTAATAAAGTTTTTAGTAAATTCGTTTCATATTGCTTAACTAGTTTATGAGAAAATACTCTCACATTGTATACCATAACAACTGGCTTTTTGTTTCAGTATAAGAAACAAAAATCAAGTGTAAAATGCCCCGGGGAGTGCATACATCCAAAAGAAAAAGTGGATTTCAGCAAAGAAAAGCCAAACAGGCTACATTAGATGTAGCTCAGAGTATGTCTGGATCGATTTTCAAGTATGTTACAAAAACTGATGACAGCCCAAGCTCATCAAAAGAAACTGATTTCGACCTTGATGCAAATGCAAGAGATGATTTAGATAATATCAGCTCATCTTCAGGAAGCAACATTGACAGTACAGAATTAATTAACACAAACAAAGAAGATGTTGAAAATAATAGTAGCAGTACTATCATTGCTACCAATGCACCATTTCCTCAATTGAATGATGTTACGGGTTCAATTATACTGATACCTAGTTACGTGGAAATAGATATCAAGAAACGTGCCTTATCTACAGGAGCCCGAGACTCTGCAAACTCATATTTCAAATCTTGTAATAATTGTCTTAATAAAGATTCATTCTTTGTACTGCTCTCGAAGAGAATGAACGCTTTTTTGAGTCTTATGTGAAATCGATTTTCATTTTAAAAACTAAGTTCTTGATTTCCAATACATAATTGGCGCAGTCGGTAGGATTTTCGCGGTCGTGAAAAAGAACATTTGCATTGTGCCAGAAATCGTTTTCGTGACTTTGAAGTTTCAACTTCTTCAGCGAGGATCGGAGGGATTCAAGTAGCTCTCTGCAGGAGAAAGAATCGGGAAAGGAACCAGGAGACTACAATAACCAAACTGTAAGTGCCAAATTCCTTTTCGACTTTCCTAAACCCTCTTTTTAAGGACTTTGGGAGAGATAGGGTAGTGACGTTGATTCCAACGGAATATAAGATATTGACATTATAACAAATTATAATAATAACTATATTGAATTTGAAAGTTAAATTATTGCCGATCGATAGATACTGAATTCTATTGATCGAAATCAACAATTTATGAACGAAAATTAAAATATTTTGCAACTATTAAATAATCTGTCAGTCGAAGACAATAATCAAAATATTCCAAACATGCCACCAGCGGAACCTCGAATGGTCGACTGGAACCTTTTCAAATCTCGTTTGGAAAACATCAAACCCTACGATGGGGATGGCAATACTCTTAAAAAATTCATAACTCGTTGTCAAAGCCTGTTAAACGATTATGCCATATATGGAGATGCTGCTTTTCAAAAACATATACTTGAGTGCATTCAAGAAAAATTAGTAGGAAAAGCAGAAGCAATGGTAGGAAATAGGATAGAATTAAATACTTGGGAAAAACTGAAAAATGCTCTTTGCCAAAGTTTTTCAGATCGCAGGGACTTAGATTGTTTAGTTCAAGAACTCACGAGAACTAGACCTTATAAGGGAGAAAACCTTATTAATTTTGGGAGTAGAATACAACTGTTGAAAAGTAGTGTTGTCCAGAGAATAAGTAATGATGTCAATTTAACCGAACCCGAAAAATTATGTCATATTAATCACTATGATAAAACAGCACTGAGTACCTTCATTGCAGGGTGTACTGGCATCCTGAAAAATAATATGCATATTAAAAAACCAGCTTCACTGGAAGACACAATGGCGTATTCGAATGAATTTGAAAACTTTGAAAGAATGTATGGAAGTTCAAACGAAACAAAAAATACAACTCCCAGGACTAATTTGGTTCCTAAACCACAATTTGGTAATAATTCACAAGGGCATAATTTCAATAACCAACATTATTTAAATCACCAACCCCACTTTCAGCAATACCCCCAATTTTCTGGAAATTTCAACACTTTGCAGTCACAATATAATCAAAAACCAGTTTGGCCAAATCAGCCTATACCAGTTCAACTTAGGCAACAACAAACTAGGTTCCCAACAAAACCGATTACCTAAACCCGAACCAATGTCGACAACCTCGAGAAACCCAACTGTAGTATCAAGAAATCGACAATTTAAAAATCGCGGATTTCAAAATTTCGGAAATATTAATATGAATTCAAATGGACAACAACGTAGTCCAAACTTTGTTTTCGAAGAATTACATTCTAACGAATATGACAATCAATTTGTGTCAGACCCTTTCTATTCTAATGAAATTTATATTCCCCACCTGAGTATCAACATTATTAATATCAAAATTCCTACGATTTCAATACCGAAATACCCAAGCCTGACGAAAATATAGAATTTGATAATGACCAAGATCAAAATTTTCCTTCGGACAACCAAGACGAAAACCTGACATGAAAGAATTCAATGTCTTCTCAAACAACGCCCTTCCTTACATAGAAAGTCAAAATCCCAAATCGAAACTCTTGATCGACACAGGTAGCTCTAAATCTATAATACGCCCAACAATAATAGAGAATTTATGTCCAAACACAATTTATCAGTCGAACACTGTTTTAAAAACAACTTTAGGTAGTAAAAACATTAGATATAGAGCTCTCGTTCCGTGTTTTCCAGAATTTAATAGTAATTATGAAATTGATTTTATTTTATTTGAATTTCATGATTATTTCGACGGTGTGATTGGTTTAAATGATCTGATCAATATGAATCTTAATATTGATCTCACAAATAACCGATTGATTGGGGAACATGTAGAAATTCCTCTGAAATATAGAGAAAGTAAAAACAGTAGTTTCAGTTTCTCAGTAGGTCCCAAAGAAAAAATTATAAAAAATTTACCGGTTAATATTTCAGAAGGAGATATTTTGATTGAAAGAAGTTATTTAGGAAAACTTGTTATACCTCGAACTCTTACTTCAGCAAAAAACGGACTAGCACCTATTGAAATTCAAAATCTTACAGATCAATCCATTACGATGACATCAAACAAAAATATTGAAGCAATCCCTTTCGAATCGCAAAAATTCGAAACATATAAATCCGAAGCTTTCTCTATCCCGCCACAACAGACAGACACACACATACAAAAGAATGAAATACTGGATTTCATTCGTACCGATCACATGAACTCAGAAGAAAAATCCGCTATTACAAAGCTCTGTAAGAAATATGCTGACATATTTTTTAAACCGGGTGACAAACTGACATTTACCTCGAAAGTCAAACACATAATCAGAACAAATGACGAAATTCCCGTACATAAAAGTCTTACAGATATCCGTATGTTAACAAAAATGAGGTACAACAACAGATAAAAGACATGCTTGACAAAAACATCATAGGACCATCCTATAGCCCGTGGTCATCACCAATTTGGATAGTGTCAAAAAAGTTAGACGCATCGGGTAAAAAAAATGGCGTTTAGTCGTTGACTATCGAAAGGTCAACGAAAAAACTATTGACGACCGATATCCGATCCCGAATATCGCGGATATACTAGACAAACTTGGTAGGGCTCAATATTTTTCCACGCTGGAACTTGCTAGCAGGTTTCACCAAATTGAGATGAGTAAATGCTCTATCGAAAAGACAGCTTTCACCGTGGATAACAGGCATTTCGAGTACTTGAGGATGCCCTTTGGGTTGAAGAATGCGCCCTCTATCTTCCAAAGAGCCATGGATGGAGTCCTGAAAGACCTACAACATAAAATTTGCATGGTCTATATGGACGACATCATAATTTTCAGTACCGGCCTTCAAGAACATATTCAAAATTTAAAATTGGTTCTCAAAAAATTAGGGGAAGCTAAATTAAAAATCCAACTAGATGAATGCGAATTTCTACGCAAAAAAGTAGACTTTCTAGGCCACATAGTCACAAAAAATGGGATAAAACCGAATCCTATCAAAATTGAATAGATAAAAAATTTCCCATTACCTCGAACCCAAAAAGAAATTAAATCATTTCTTGGCCTTCTTGGATATTGTCAAATATAGAAAATAATCATGAAATAATTCAGATTCATTTAAGTAAATACATGAATTGAAAGATATTCCAACCTCACTTCAATATTTTGAATCAATTGGACAATATAGTTTTTTCTAACTTTTATAGGACTTGTAGTTTGTAATTGATGTTTATAATCATATTTTAAACCCATTGTTTTTTTTATTATTCAAAATATTTTTATTGAATTGTGAGTTTTCATTTGAATTTCAATTTGTTTTTTTGTTTTTCATTACCACCCAGAAAGCTGGGGGCCAGCTTTAACGTGGAGGGGAGATGTGTCAAATATAGAAAATAATCATGAAATGATTCAGATTCATTTAAGTAAATACATGAATTGAAAAATATTCAACCTCACTTCAATATTTTAACACAAGAACACTCAGTATTCAGAATTCCATCTTTTGATATTTCAAGTTCATAGACATCGAAATTGATCCGATCACAGGATATGGAATATAAAACAATCTCCAAATATGCAAACTTGGCACAGATTGCATGCTGTGCATTTTACCTCAGTACAGTGACCGGATCAAAGTCGCAATGTCAGCGTATAATTCTTTATAAATATTTAGGGAGGTCAAAACAGTCAACAGACAGTATTCCGTATTCATTTGAGTATCGATTAATCATCAGCAATGCAGCACATCTCCTTCTCTTCGATCCTGCTGGGTGGCAGTATAATGTAAGTTTTTGATTGTTTTAATGTATTATTTTTATTAACATTTTTGAGTGTGAGTTTATTTTTTCCTGTTTCTTTTGAATAAATATTCAATTGAATTTTCAAATAATTTTTTCATTATTTGGATGGATGAATGAATGAGTGAAACAGCAAATAAAAATCCTCTCGTAAATAGCCAAGCGAGTACTGAGTTGCGACAATATTATCGGAAATTTATAAAAGATTTCGCTAAAATTACCAAACCCATGGCTTCATGTCTAAAAAAGGACAATAAAGTCGAACATACCAAGGAGTTCAAAGATTGTTTTGAAACTTGAAAAATATTCTAATCTGAGAACCTCTGTTACCTTACCCAGACTTCGAAAAAAGATTTCGAACTCTCTACCGATGCCTCTAAATATGCATTGGGTAGCATCTTGTCTCAAAATGTTCATCCCATTTGCTATGCATCTAGGACACTAAACTCTGCTGAAATAAATTACTCTACAATAGAAAAAGAACTGCTCGCAATAGTTTGGAGCTGTGAATATTTTCGACCGTACCTGTTTGGCAGGAAATTTGTGATTTATACAGATCACAAACCTCTGCAATGGCTTTTTTCCTCAAAGGAGCCAAACTCAAGACTTGTGAGATGGCGCCTAAAATTGGAAGAGTTTGATTATGTCATTAAATACAAAAATGGTAAAAATAATCAAGCAGCAGATGCCCTTTCTAGATACCCACCTAATTTTGAGATAAATGCACTAGAAACAATGTCAACCGATGTTAATTTGGATGACATTGATGAAGTAAAAGAAAAAGAACTAGAAAACTTGAACAATCTTCCAAATCTAGACAATGAGAATATCACTGATTTCTTAGAAAATCAGTCACTATTAGATACTCTGCTGTCAAATGCTGAAAACCCAAAAGTTAATATAATTTCTAACATATTGGTTAAACCTGCAACCAAAATCAACCCCGAACCAGAGGTAGACTTGGAAACAGCACTTACTTCTGCCGAAAACCCTATATTGACAATACCAATAGTAGACCGATCTTTAAATACATATAAAAATCAGCTAGTTATGACAGTTGGAGACATAGACAAAACCAAAGTTAGACGAAAAAAAAAGTATTCGGAAATTTCCGACTATACGTCACTTTTCCAAAAGTCGAACTTGAAAATCAAATTGAAACTTTTGCAAGAGAATACTTGAACCCCAAACAGCATTATGCCCTGTACTTCAAAAACCCTCAACTTTCGGAAATATTTTCTGTAACTATCCAAAATACTTTTAAAAATTCCTCACTCAAATTATTGCACTGTACAAAATTTTTGACCGACGTAGAAACTTTGAAGGAACAAAAGCAAAAGAGTATTACCACATATACAAATCCGGTCATAGAGGAATGAACGAAGTGAAAATGTCATTAGGTTCTCGATATTATTGGCCGAATATCTGTCTGTTTAAAATCTGTTCTGAGAGAATATAGAGAATTATATCAACAATTGTGAAACATGTCTAAAAAACAAATATGACAGGGATCCCCCTACCATTAAGTTCAATTTGACCCCCACTGCATCCAAACCATTCGAACATATTCGCATCGACGTTTTTAGAATATCGAACCATATGTACTTGACTATTATTGATGCTTTCTCCCGATACGGCTAAGCATATCCTTTAAAGTCGGCAACAGGAATATCAATAGTTGAAGGTCTTTTGAATTTTGTAACTCATCATGGGTTACCTCTAAAAATCACAAGTGATTGCGGTACGGAGTTTAAAAATCAAGATTTAGAAAACTTCTGCTCTCTTCACCGTATTCAACTTCATTTCACCACAGCGAAGAATAGCAACTCAAATTCCCCAGTAGAACGTTTTCATTCTACCTTGATTGAACATTTTCGTTGTTTAAGAGAAGAAAATAAAAACCTCACCCCAGACCAATTGGTAAAATACGCTATATTGAGCTATAATAACTCTATACATAGCGTAACCAAATTCACTCCATTTGAAGTTATCAAAGGACATATTGACGATTCTAACTCTTTTGATATGAACGATAACGTTATTATATCAAACTATGATCAAAATCACAAAGAAGTTAGGAAAAATATGTACGAAAATATACAAAGAGCCAATCAAACAACTAAAGAAAAAGTAATAACTAGAGCAAATGAAAAAAGGACAAACGCCCCACAATATACGGGTCGAAAAACAGTTTATATAAAAACTAAACCCCGAAACAAAAATTTACCAAAATTCAAAAAGGTTATTCTCGATCAGGAAACTGACGAAAAATTGATCACACAATCCGGAACATATCATAAAAGTTCTGCTAGAAAACCCAGAAATATTAAAGAACAAACATTGTTACAGGAAAATTAAGAGGATGAAGTTTCTTCTCCTTTGCCTGGTCGTTCAACTAACATATTGTAAGGATGACATAGACGTTACCAACCTAGACAATCTTATTCTCCCGATACAACTAGGAAACGCTAGACTCGTATACACTAAACATACCTTTCTACACTATTTGGACCTCAAAATCATTATCGATAAGATACAAAATTTGAATAAAAATTTTGAATCAATCGAAAATAGTATTTCCAAAGTTAATGTAACTAACCCAATATCTTATCACGGATTATCGGAGAATATGCTGATCAGAACTAAATATCTCATTAGCACTTTACAGAGAAAAATCGACAATCTATTACCTTCATTCCATACTCGCAATAAAAGAGGGCTAATCAATGTACTTGGTAAACAAATGGCTTTTTGGCAACCTCGACTCTGATGACGAGGAACGTTATAATAACGCTATTAAAGTTTTAGAAAATAATCAGGAAAAAATTATTAACGAAACCAATCTCCAAATTTCTTTGTCTAAAACATTAATAAACCATTATAACAAAACCATTAGAATTTTCAACGCGAATCAAGAGAAGTTCGAGCGAGATTTGGAAAGATTTCAGGTAACGATTAGTGATACAATAAGAAATTTCGATAATTACTTTTGTTTTCAAAGAACATTATTACAATTGAACTTAGACTGTCAGAATTTGATAAACTTTATAGATAATATCGAAAATGCTATTATGTTTTCAAAATTGAACACTTTGCATAATTCAATTGTATCTACTACTGAACTTCAGGAGATGGCGACATATTTAATGAAAATATATAACCAAAATCAAGTTCCAAATTTTAAGAATACACTCACGTATTACCAATTTTTGGGAACGCAAGTCAGTTTCGTCAATACCAAATTGATCTTTGCAATACACGTCCCTATTGTTAGGCCCAAATTCTTTAAATTCTATCATGTATATCCTGTTATCCACATGATGTCTTTCCCCAAATACCCATATTTGGCACGGAACCAGGACGATATCCAGTTCGAAAAAGAAGATTGCCCGTTCCTAGAAAACACATATTACTGCCCGGAGAACTTTGCGCCACCGGATAACTGCACACTCCACCTTTTTGAAGGAAAAGCCTCAGAGAAATGCCACCTTTTGGAAATCAACGTGCAAGATCCCATTGTAGAACAATAACACAAGATCGAGTATTGATAATCCCTTTCAAAGAAGAACGCCTATATTCCAAATGTAAAACAGATCAATACCTAGAAATCAATTCTCCAGTATTGATTAGAATCCCACAATCATACGAAATCCAAATCCATGACAGAAATTATGTAAATGACATTTATATCCAACAAGGAAAACCCATGATTTTACCCAAACTGGAAATGACGGACTTGAAAACTCCAAAAGCCTACGACACCCCGAATTTCACCAAAATCAACCTTGATGAAACCAAATAGACAGAATAGCCAATCAACTGAAGCCTATTCAATCGCAACAAAACCAAGTTCCTACAACGCCTATTATTGGGACTATAATATTAGTAATCATCGTCATCGTAATACTGCTCAGCCGGCCGAAATTGAAGCAGTATTTCCAAAAAATATTCAAGAAGAACCAAAAAGCTCGTGAATCCGCAGAAACTACAACTTCAAAAAATAACTCCGTTATTTTTTCAGCCTGAGGAGGGACGAGTTACGTGGAAATAGATATCAAGAAACGTGCCTTATCTACAGGAGCCCAAGACTTTGCAAACTCATTATATTTCAAATCTTGTAATAATTGTCTTAATAAAGATTCATTCTTTGTACTGCTCTCGAAGAGAATAAACGCTTTTTTGAGTCTCGATTTCCAATACATAATTACCTCCTAGTTGACTCATAACTTTAATAGCGCTCTCGTAAGCCAAAACATTATAAAATGTATTAAATCATTCAGGATGAATAACTTGAAGTCACTCGGTGATCTTGCACAGCAGAAAAATATCTGAAATAAAGTCTTATTTTTAAATGTTCACCACAAGAAGTACTTTACCTACTTTGAATGCTTTCTCATTCAAGATACCAGTTTAGTTCATAGAGAATTTCCGAAAAGAATAAGAACATTATCTGTTTCATCACCATTTCTTAAGTTTCCATTTTCATATAGGTTAGTTTGTTATTGTTTGGATAGAGGTCATCTAAAAGATCCAACTCTGCTAAATATTCAAAATTTGACAGAAAGGATGTCATTCATATTCAGTATTCTCAACTTCGATGAAATGTCACTAATATTCCTAGTTTGACCTCCAGAATTTATCTGTTTCCTTTTCCTTTTTATTGTGGGCTTATCAAAGTGGAACATATAGTTCTGATTTTCTCAAGTTATAGAGGATTTTCTGAGTCTGAAAAATAAAAAGTAGTTGTAAAACCATCAAGAAAATTGTCATAGGATTGATATTTCAACCATCCAATGTGGATTTTGGTTTTCAACTAATCTTAAACGTTTCCTGACGAAACTCTCTCCGAGACCACCCTCCATCGAAGATAGGTATTCTGCTGGGACACATTCTGGGGATTATCCTCTAATAAGTGCATTTCGTATGTATTAATGAATCCACAGGTTAGTAACTTTTCTGTCTTTTCAGGTCTCTTTTTGTTTAGTACCTAATTTTACGTTTTCTCTGTAGGAAGGATATTACCAGCTCCCATATCATTATGTCCTATAGCTATACATAAACTGGACGAACCTTGTATAGAAAGACATTGTTGGGAATTGCAAAAGAAAGGACAACCTCCAAAGGAATATACAAGTAGGATCTACTTCATTTATTAATTTTGCCTTGCACAACTTTTGCT